AAATCCTGAGTAAAAAGCAAATCTATATAACAATGAAGTGATGCTATAAATTCTTAGAACTGAAATGCTAGAGCAACTATCACTTTTCGTCAGTACCTTAACATATCAGGGATTGTACTGTNTTTTTTTTCTAGTAGAGGATAGTCTACTTTACTCGTCTGTCAATTAATACTAATAATATATTTGATTTTTTGTTAGTTAAAAATAGTTAAGTAAAAAATGTTACAATTGACCCCACTCTCCCCTACCTTAACATATCAGTGATTGTACTGTCCTTGAAACATTACAAAGTGGATATAAAAGTAAAAAATAATTTAGTAAATTTCCTTTCTAAAATTCAGTCTTTAAAACTTGTCATAAGTTTATGATTAACAAATAAAACTTGATTTTTCTTATTTCACTTATCTCTTATTGAATTGGGTGGCCAACCCACCTAGACATTAAGAATTTACAAGCGGACATCTCCAATTTTTTTTCTCCAGACTTTGTTCTCAATACTGCATAAAGTGCTGAAAATGTTCAGCTTACCCTAATCTACTGACTATTTATTGTTTTTTATGTTTCTTGCTTTCTTTAAACTAAAAAAATATTAATTGCAAATATTTAAGCCATTATATATTTTATTTTTTTTATTAAAAATTGTCATATAATTTATCCTGTTTAATTTGTGTAATAAAACAATTTTTTTATTAATAAATATTTCTGATATATTCTTAGATACGTTTCATTTGTTTTAAATACTTTGTTTGAAAAAAAGTAAGACTTTTAAAATAATGCATATATTATAATGCTTAAGTAAACCCAAGCACCCAAGTACTGTAGTAGTGGCGTAGCCAGAATATTTAATTATACTTGCTTTAAAATCATAACTAATTAGCAAAAAAAATATAAATTTTCTCAGACGAAAAATTAAAATTTTTGTATTGGTCCTTTAGAAATTAATTTCAGAAAAGTTCATTAGTTTTTCAAATTTATAACAATATGACTTAAGTTACTACTTTACTTATTACTTTGTTTTATTTGTTGCATCATTAAGGTGACTATTTTTATTGATAGTAAATTAAGCATGTTTGCATGAAACTGCATTAATTTATGGATTTGTTAAAAAAAAGTTTCTAATGACTTGTAAAACCACTTTACGTATAAAATACTACTAAAAGTATGATTCAAGGATCGATTTTTGCAGCTTTTATATTGAATTAATGGAAATATTTGGAAAAAATAAAATTTTTTAAAAAAATTTGTGAAAAAAGAAAAGAATTTTTTTTACGGAACATTTTTATTCTAATTACTTTTCCCATTATTTTTAATTGCGTCTTTTAAATGAATTGTTCTGTTTATAATTAACCCCTGCTCAAAATCTGTTAATTTATACTGCAATCAATGCATAGTATAAAAAAGTATAATTCGGAATAAAGTGAGAGTATTGTTAAATTAAAAATCCTTCAATAAAGATATCACGGTGCCCTTGTCCTAAGGGCACGGTTCTCAGTAGAACACCGAAGTCAAGCATCACTGGCTGTGGTCAGAAAGCGGGTGGGTGACCCACTTGGATCAGTCTGCGTAGGGCCCGAGGGTGTGCGGTATATGTCCTCGTTAAACTGTGCTACCGTAAAGTGCTCGTCTTCGCGTGCAGGTCGTTGGGCTACCGAAGCGGGGGTGCCATCCCCTCTGCAGAGTATTAAAATTTCGATGGCATGTCTTCGGATCATCCTCAGAAATGTTTCCCAGACCGTCGCCAATACTCCATTGTGCAGCNGTGCAGGTCGTCGGGCTACCAAAGAAGGGTAGCCATCCCCTCTGCAGAGTATTATAATTTCGATGGCATGTCTTCGAATCATCCTCAGGGATGTTTTCCAGACCGTCGCCAATAGCCCATTGTGCAGCTCTAGTGGGACGTAAATAAAGTACCTACCTACCTCCAATAGAGAATTTAAAAAAATGATTGGGATTTCAAAAGGAGGTATTACTGCCAGGGAATTTTTCGCGCAACATAGAAATAGTAACAATTGTCATATATTGAGAGAATAATTTATATTTTGTTGACCGTAAATTCTAATTTAACGTCGCTTAACTCTATAATTATCTTTTCGTTTACACGTACTAATGAAACAAAATATTTCTCCTTCAATTATCGTCTTGAAAATTGCGGTCTCTCAGGCGCGTTTTTCTTGTAGAAATTTTGTTGTCTGCTCCTGTGAAATAAAATAAAAAAAAGCAAAGAAATTTATCCGCTCCATATCGTATTTAGTCATCAGAAATCATCATTTCATTCAAGAATGAGGATTCTTGGTGGTAGATAGCGGCTTTTTTAAAAAAAAAAACTGTTGAGTTTCTTGCAAGGAAAGAGTTTCCAGGAAGTTCGTGGTACTGAAAAAGAAATTCCCGCTTTATGTACTTGCAACGTCACTCCTTGATGGAACTTTGCTTCAGGGAGCTCATGATAAGGTAGTAGGCTTGCAGATACTGGCAAGTTGAATTAGTAACAACAACAAATAGTGATGGCATATATTTGGCAAGGATGTTTCCCGTACCAATAGCCCATTGTGCAAATTTAGTGTGACGTAAATAAAATACTACTACTAGTACTACCATTAGAACAAGATGACTTGTTTATCTGAAAGAACGAAGTCCCACAGTGGATTGATAGTTAAGACACGGTTCCCAGCAGATCACCGAAGTCAAGCATCACTGGCTGCGGTCAGTGTGCTGGTGGGTGACCACTTGGATCAGTCTGCGTAGGGACCGAGGGTGTGCGGTATTGGTCCTCGTTAAACTGTTCTACCGTAAAGTGCAGGTCGTCGGGCTTCTGAAGCGGGGGTGCCATCCCCTCCGCAGAGTATCAAAATTGTGATGGCGTGTCTTCGGATCCATCCTCAGGGATGTTTCCCAGACCGTCGCCAAGAGCCCACTGTGCAGCTCTTATGCGACGTAAATGAACTACAACAACAACAACAAAGAACAAAACTACGAGTATATGATCAAAACTTATAATAAACTTACTTAATANTCCATCCTCAGGGATGTTTCCCAGACCGTCGCCAATAGCCCACTGTGCAGCTCTAGTGCGACGGAAATGAACTACAACAACAAAGAACAAAACTACGAGTATATGATCAAAACTTATAATAAACTTACTTAATAACTTATAATAAAGTTTAATAAACAAATAATAAACTTACTATAACGGAATAAGCATAGAATCTCTTAATTAAGATCTGGATAATGTGTCTTAGATTGTGATAGAAATGGTAGGAGGTTCGTGCCTCAAAGTCTCTGAAAAGCCTCATTATTTATAAGGAAATAAAATATACTTATTTTTGAGCTTGAAAATAGACAAATCTATAGCCTGAGTAGCCTAAAGGCTAAGTTCTTGGCTAACGACGAAGAGCTGAGTTCATACCCCGAAGGTACTGATTAATCTCCGTGCTTACAAGAGAATCGCATATAAATGTTTACTAGTATAACAGGAGTTAAGAGCGCAAACTCAACCAATGTGTTTTGTAAAACAAACTGATCACAGTCAGAACTGCTATACCATTCCCTAACTTGAATATTCTCCTAAATAGGAAATTTCCGATGGGACCGAACTCATGAACTTCGCGTAATTAATTAATTACGCACGAAATATGAATAATGTGATATGTAATTTTTTGAATGATTTCAACCTGGAGCCGCAGCGACTCAGAAGATAGAGAGCTCGCCTCCCAATGAGGTGACCTATGTCCGAATCTCAGCGATGGCTGGTCGATACGTTTTCCGCAACCGACTCGCACCGATCACAAAGCTGGCGTGAAAATAACGTCAGTGGTAGCCAGATCATGAGTTAGAGTCTCCTTACGATCAAGCTAACCGTAGGAGGTTTTCGCGGTTTCCCTCTCAGTGAAACTCAAGTGCGAGTTAGTTCCATCAAAACGTCTTTTACGAAGGCAAATTTCTTCCGATACTTAATCCAGGAGTAGATTGGGGGTCTTCTAAATTAAGTTCAAAATTACAGGTAGGTAGGTATTTTATTTACGTCGCACTAGAGCTGCACAATGGGCTATTGGCGACGGTCTTGGAAACATCCCTGAGGATGATCCGAAGACAAGCCATCACAATTTTGATCCTCTGCAGAGGGGATGGCACCCCCGCTTCGGTAGCCCAACGACCTGCACGCGAAGTCGAGCACTTTACGGTAGAACAGTTTAACGAGGACCAATACCGCACACCCTCGGTCCCTACGCAGACTGATCCAAGTGGTCACCCACCCGCACACTGACCGCAGCCAGTGATGCTTGACTTCGGTGATCTGCTGGGAACCGTGTCTTAACGATCAGTCCACTGCGGGACTTCAAAATTACAAGGCTACAGAGTTGATAATTGGAAATCGTACACTCAAAATAATTGGGTCGGCTGTTTAACGACAATTATAAAACAAAATAAAATGATACCTTTAATTTATTCGGAAATGGAAAAACTTTTAAAATCGAAACCAGAAGCGCATCAACAGATACACCATAAATATTTGAGCCCGTAAAACAGTCAACGCAAATTGTTAAAAAACTTTTACAAGCAACGTATTAAAATCTCTTACCCAAAGAATAACGCCATAAAAAATTTCGACGATGGACACGATTCTTTCATTAAAAATGAACAAGTTCGTTACCCATACTTTTATTCTACACTTTACTAGATTTATAATTTCACTCTTTATAATAGCAAAAGTATCAATATGTATTCATTACACTCAAATCTATATCTAAATATTGACTTTGAAATGATACGGCAACTAGTTTTGGGGCCCAAATAGAGATTTCCGTCGAAATGATGTAATGAGAAATAACGAAGCAAGAAGGTCCTATCGTAGGTCATGATCAGGTCAGACGGTGAATTTCCATTCTTCTTTACTTCATTCTTTGACGTTTCGGTTTCACCTTTGAGAGGTTAAAGTGGGAATGGTTTTTTTTACAGAAAGAAAGAACAAAATAAAATGAAAAACGAACCGACCGTTTCGGGTAAAGAACTGGTCTCAGAATCTCATTCATAGTTAGCGAATTTGTGAAGTATGATTTGCGCAATACTTCGTGTCGCCGACGGTTGTGTATTTTGCATAAGAAATAGTAAATTATTTTACACATTTATGAAAATTCTTAAATAAAGTGAAGTGAACAGAGGAATGCATCGATAATAAAAAGGGCGGCTCATGCAGTTAATTTCTAAGCGATTCAACATGCATTTGCTTCCGGGTCTCCTCTTTGTTGTGGTGTTTTCAAGGACGTGCTTGGCTCATGGTCATGAGCCGGTATCACATTCAGGTTTGTTTATTTTTTATAGCGTGGTGAGAATAAATTATAAGTTTATTTGCTTGTAAAAATGCTAATTTGTAATAAACTTACGCATAAATTAATCTGATTTTCGGTAGATTGCTTGGTTTGACTTAAGATTAATTTAAAAATGCACTAGTTAATGTTACTAGTTAATTTCAAACATGTTCGTTATCTGTTGATTAGATAAAAAATTATTTAAGGGTGAATATATAATTTTTCTGAATAGTGAATGAATTTTGATAAATTTATTTAATGTAGATTGTCTTATTATACTAGCTTTTTAATTGTTATTACTGATTTACTTGAAAAGTTTTTATTGCTTAGTTTTTGAAAGATCTTTTGCCTCAATGTGGTGTCTTTCTGAAAGTATAAATCTTTTATGAGTACGTCTAAATTAAACTACTCTTCAGACAGAGAATTTTTAAGATTTACTGCTTAATAATTTGCTCGTGTAAACACTTGATATGTTTGTGTTCATTGTTGCATACTTTTTGCAAATTTTAGAATTTGAATTAAGTCTTGAATTATTAGGTTTTTTAATAGGGAAAGATATCAAATTAAATTGTACAACTGCAAATTTTAAGAAATCTAGATTTTTTTCCTGATCTTAATTGTTATAAATTTGCAAATATGTCACTTCCATATTGTATCTTGACATCCAATTAATGTTGCAAAGATTAAATTTTCACCTCTGAGAAACTTTTCTAACCGTCAAATGATTTGAACGAACTTCAGTTTAAGAGAGCATAATTTGAAATATGATATCTTATTATTCTGTATATAAATTTCTATGAAATCCTTGGCTCTTGACCCAGTTTTCGAATTGTCTATGAGAATGCTTAAAGTACCAAATTTGACTCACAGAATCTTTCATATTTTTATGTGTGAAATATAAAAGCGTTTAGTTTTAAAACTGGAACATCGTGAAATTGAGGAAGTCTATTCCTATTGTTAACTAGAATCTTTGTAATGAAAACAGCTTTACCGTTTCAATTTTAAAGCGTAAACTCTGAAAATTAAGATTTTAACTGTTCTTCGGGATATTAAATTTGTAAATCATATCTTAAATTTCATTTAGTCTAGTCACTTGACGTTAGTTTTATTTTAACAAGTCTTTAAAATATTAATGCCTTTACGACTTTATTGCGGAAACTTTATTTCTCACACATGCTAAAGAAAAACTTTAAGGAAATATTAAATTTGCATCTTCATGTACAATGACTCAATCTAAAATATGTTGCTTCACATTATTTTATTCATATTTTAAAGCTGGAAATATCAAAAAAAAATTATTCTAAACATTGCATATTTTAGGATCCTTTTTAATTACCAATGGAAGGAGCTCTGGTTTCTAAACTATTGTTCATGAACTTTGTGATATAATTTTTACGTCAGACATTGTTTACAATGCAGTTTCTCTCGTTTAGTCAAAGTACATTATCTTAGCGTTTAGCAGATTTACTTTTGTGTTATTTAAATCTAGTCTCATAATTTTTATTCCTTTTAGGAAATATCTTGTAAAAGTATCGAAGATTTGAAAACTTCTTTTATAAAAGATTATTATTTTTTATGCTCTCTAACCTTTTAGAGTGCAATGCTAAAATGTGTTCAAATTAAACTTTCATGCGTTTTTAAATTTCGAACTTTTCTTGATTTATTTCAGCTGAGACTGCTGGTCAGTCAAAGTGCCCTGGAGTGTGCCAAACAGCAGAATCGTGTGTCACATCTCTCAGTGAAACAGATTGTTCCGGTAATTTGGTTTGCTGCGTTGATCACCTTGAAAAGATGGCGGCTACGGAGTTTGCAGATCCCGATCTTACAACAGAGAGTTTATTAGATTCAAATGTGGTCCCCGAAGTGGAAGAAATGTCTGAAGGTGAACTATCTGAATTCACGACGGAAGCAGAGATGTTAAACGAGAGTGTATTTGAAGAAGTCGAGGTTCCAGAAGAGGAAGTAAACGAGGAAATGAAACTACTAAACAGTGGAAAATATGAGATTGTTTATTCTGAGGAAGCTGGTGAAGCGGTTCTTGCCCCTGTCACACCAGAGACCCAAGAGCTAGTAGATGATTCTGCATGCCCTGGAACGTGCATATCTGCGGCATTTATGACAGACTGTTCTTATGTAATGAGTGAAAGTAGTGTGTGTTCAGCTGGAGAAGTCTGTTGCTTAAATGACGAGGATTATCAAAGAGCTCAATATTATATAGATCAAGAGGAAAAATCCACTAAGGTTAAGAGAGCTGCAGAACAATCCCAAAAATACGATTGCCCTGGAAGCTGCATGCATCCTTCCCATCTTATTTATTGTGACAAAATATTAAACCAGTTTTCTTGCCCCCTCAATGCTAAGTGCTGTACACTTCCTACTGCTCAAAGAGCTCAAATTCAAGAACCAATCGAATGTACAGGAACGTGCTTACCTTTTCATATGGGTGGATATTGCTTACCACCAAATGAATTAGTGATGGGTCCTACAACTTGTGAAACTGGCACTTCTTGCTGTATGGTAAATCCTTCTAATGTTCAACCTCCTCGTTTCAAAGCTATGCCCTTCCCAAATACACCACCACCTTTCACAAATGACATCACTGCTAATCTTCTTGGACATCTAGCTGTGGATGATGCTGGTAATGTGTTTAAAGTCAGCAAAAATGGGCAGATCTCTCCTCTCACGAATTTGCCTTTAGGAACTGATATTAGAAGTTTGATTAGACTAGCTACATATCCTCGTTTAAGTGGAGAAATAGCCATTTATTCAAGTCAAACAGGTGAACTTTACCAGCAATTCATTCCTCGTATGCAAACCGCTTCCAATACAAGAGTCAAAGTGCAATCTCCTTTAGTTCGTCAACCAATACACCAATTTGAATCCCAAGCATCTGAACACGCTGCGAATTTTCAGCCTAATCCTCCTGTTCAAGCAAGTACTGCACCTATAGATCAAGAAACTTCAGACATCGTGATACCAGATGATGATGACGAAGCACCAGTGACTACAAATACTCCGGTGATCCATACAGATAAAAATTCCAGGCCTCCTTGCCCTGGTTCATGCATGTCTTACTTCTTGAGATTCACTTGTTTCAGAGGCTACGCAACTTACGATGGCTTCACATGCCCGGGAAGATCTGTTTGCTGTGCACGTTTGAAGGATATTGAAGATCACGAGCAATACCTAAAATCCATATCTCCTTACTTCAATACCTCACGTAAGTGTTTTTAAAAGCTAGTACATATGCTATACTTGTCATTCAGTTATATTGATTTGGTTTTAATTTGTTAGCAGCCTCCAGAGACTCTAGCCTTCCTCGCTGTGGTATCAAAGGAAGACGCGATACTCCAAGAATAATGGGAGGAAAAGATTCATTGCCTGGTGAATGGTGCTGGCAGGTGGCTGTTATTAACGTTCAAAACCAATATATTTGTGGTGGAGCTCTCATTGACAACTCTTGGGTACTGACAGCTGCTCATTGCGTTGCAAGGTATGTTTTCTGCTATTCTTTAATTTGAGCGTTTAAGTTCTGATGCAAAAGTCTTTATTGCTTCAACTATCTAGAGTAGTCTGATCGGACTTGCTATTTTTATTACGAGGTCTCTTATTTTAGCAAGAGTGACAAACTTGTTTCTAACGATAGCAGGTTAACATTGTAGGGTGCAGTTGCGTAGAAATTACTCTACCTTAAACTGCAATGTGCAAATTAGGCATAAAAGTAAGTTTTGTAAACTGCGTATTTATTCTTCGAAGTCTGTTAGCATAAATATGGGTATTAGTGGGGACTAGTGTAAAAGATAAGCTTTCGTGTTTGCTTTGAGTAACTGTTCTTTTTCTAGGCTTAAATTGTACGAAAGAGTAGATTGTCATGTTTTAATTAATATGCTAACTCTAATAGTTTGGCTAAATTAAATTTTTAGTTCAGTTGCTTTTGTGACTTAACTTAATATGAACTTTCTTCATATCTTAACAAATGGTTTAAATTTAATAATTTTAAATCTTTTTAAAATGCCCTGGAGAATGACCCTTCGTCATATAGGCATCTGAAGAGATTTGTTGGCCATTCTTTCAGGCGCACCAGAGGGCCAACTTTGCTCTCACATTAAGGACAGAGAATGAACAGCCATGCCTTCCCGGGATTCGAACCCAGAACCTTTCTAATGAAAGGCCGGTCTGCTCTAAAGGGATCATTACTAACAGAATTTTGCTAGAAAAATTGAGAGCTAGTTATTTTTACTATTTAGTTTAGGGCTATTAGTATTCGGTTTCATAAGATTTTAAAGTTTATCTACAATTGGAGATGGTATCTGGTTATTTACGAGCTGAATATTCAAATCATTTAATGGCCAGAGAAGTGCTTAATCTTCAGAAAGGAGTCCCGCGACCAGTTCTTTCGTGGGCGTGGTTGGTTTTTCTGCCAGGTTTGACTTTAAATTTGATCTAGTTTTCTTGAGTGCGTAAGTTCTTGTACTCACTTCCAGTTCGTGTTTCAGTACTGAACGCAAAATTGTCCATATTTCTGTTGTCATTAGTTTTAATTCTAATCTAAGGTAGTTTAAACTTATTTTTAGCCTGAGGTCTAATCCTTAACACTAATTGTTTCAAAGTTGCTGAATCAAATTCAATAAACATAGCTGCGAAATATTTAAATTGCTGAAACATTACTCGATTTTAAATTTTTATGAAACTCTGCTCTTTTCTAAGTTTCAGAATTTGTTTTAATCTCTATTCAATATTTAAATTTCATACATAAATTATGTACTGCTCAATTAAGCAACCAGCATTAATATATAGTTAATTTCTATCCATGAAACCTGCAATAAAACTTTTAAACGCTTGTATCCGTAGCAGTCTGCAGCTCACTATTTTTATTGTTTCCGTATCATTCTGAATTAGTGCTTTTTCAAATTCTGTAGTTAAAACCCTTGAACCCCTTCCCACGCGGGGCTATTAATGTTGATATCTCAGTAGGGATTTTATTTTAAAGGGAAATTCCAATCTGATAGGTTATTACTACGGAAGTTCTCGGTGGCGGAAGGTTTATTTCCCTGATCGAATAATTAACACAGCATACGAGCGATAATAGGACACTATCTTTGATTGGATCAAGTTTATGGAAAATTTTAACTTATGAAACTAATTAAAATTGTGGGTTATGGCCTTCATTGAATTTTCGCGCAATTCATTATTTTGAAACATTGTGTATAGTTTTCGAGATCAACATAGTTATCAATATATTTAACTTGTTTACTGTACGAAGCATTTTAATACTCAAATAGCCTAACATAATTAGTAGATAAGACTTAACTTTCACGCAGTTTCTACCAGTGACTTACTTACACTTAGATGAGCCCCTGCCAAATTTATAAATGCACCTCATCTTAGATTTTTAATTTGAAACTAAATATAATTTTTTAAAATTATTATATGAAGCACACTAAAGAAACATTCGGTTTACTAAAATTTTTAATTCGTATATCTATTTAAAATTTTAATATTTTAAGAAATTGTGGAACTATGGAATATTAAGGAATTTTGAAGGAAAATAATTTAGAAAAGCACCAAATTGGAACATTACATCTTACCACATTGAAATGAAACTATTCTTAATACTAGGAAATACTGTTTTACAATAATGTTCAAAGTTTAGATAAAGATTATTTGGTTTGCAAAGTGAATAAAAATATCTCGTTACTATATTTCATATATATATATGGGGTGCACAACCCTTTCTTGTAGTGCCACACACTCAATTACCTATAGTATGTTTACGTAAATTATTAAATTATGATTTTAACACATCTGTCTCAAACAATTCTTTTTATCAGTAAATTGATAAAATATTTGCATGGAATTCTCAAATGTTAAAATTAAAATTTCAAATTTTATTGCGTAGTTTGTAATATGGCTGTGATTAAAACAGTTATTTATAATTCCAGAAGAATCCTTACTGAATAAAGTTAACTGAAAGCTTTATTTTTCTTGTCAAATTTCAGATCGTAGCCTAAATTGTTTTCAACGTAATTTGACAAATCGCCATCCGTTTTAATAAAACCAAAGCTAAATTTTTAGAAATAACTTGCTACTCTAACTCTTTCTTGTGCTCAGATTGTTTTAACATAGTATAATGTTAGTTTTTGGAAGTTATGTTTTAAATTTTAATATTGAGGTTTGAAGTGTACGAATATGCTCGTGTATTAGCTTTAAAACTAGAAGCTTAGACACCCGTTCATCTGCTACGCTTTATCAGGCTCGCTTTATCAGAAAAGATTCGCAATCTCATTAAAGTATTATATTTAACATTCTATGTATTTAAGTTTTTAAAATTTAAATCTCATTCACAGCTCTCTAGAGGAGGGTCAAGCAATTTTCATCCGAGCTGGAGTTACAGATTTGAAAAGCCCAGAGGACAACAGCAAGGCTCAAACTGTTCGCGTTCTCTCTACCTTTGTGCACCACAACTTCAACAGCAAAACTCTAGATAATAACATTGCTCTACTTCGTTTGCAAAAACCTGTCGAACTTGGTGGAAATGCCTGTGTAGTATGTCTTCCAACTACTAGAAAGATGCCAAAAGAGGGAGTTAAATGCACCGTAACTGGATATGGATTTGTTTCACCTGGTAAATAGTCCTAACTTTGAAAAGTTTGTAAAGGTTTAAATGTGTAAAATAACTGCTAATAACTCCAATTTTTTTTAGAAGGTGGTATGGCTTTGAGGATTCGAGAGGCACAAATCCCTATTGTGGACGACATGGAGTGCATGACTAATGTTACCGAAGCATTGGACAATCCGTTTATTCTGCCTTCCAGTAGTTTCTGTGCAGGTGGTGAAGGTATTGAAGATGCTTGCCAGGTATGTTTATTCTCCTAAATATTCAGTTTTAAGAATGAACATTTAACTTGACAGTTAAGTTTTCTAAACATAAGCGTTCGATAGGAATCTAGTGATAAGAAAAGAGAACTATAAATTATAATTTTTGCAGTTTCGGTTTGCATGAGATATGAATCTTTTAATCTTTTGAAGTAGAGAATCATAAATAAAATGGTTAAATAACACTGCAATAATTTGAATATAAAGTCTCAAATCGAATCTTGGGAACGTGAGTAAAATATTCGAAGAAAGTAATAAAATGTTTCTCATGGAATATTTCTCGAACCGTGCGTGTGAGCTGTATTAAGTTAGTTGCTACACTTTTGAGTCTCACTTTCTAAAATTAAGTTTTCAAGCTATAATATATATGTGAAACTGATCAGACAAACCATAGTATTTTATATTTGTCGAGCATTCAAAAACCATTCTTACGGTAGTCTGTTTACATTTATGTCATTGCTAATCCCGATGTGCTCCAGTAAATGTTTTGGTTTAGCTGAACTTGAGCAATGAGTAAAATTATCAAACACTGCTATGAAGTTTACGTTATACAGCTAGTTTTGAAAATTAAAATCTGAGATATATATAATATATTCATACGCTGTGTGAAATAATGCCCAAAAAATAAACTACTGACTTTTAAAAATTTAACTTATCGGTATCTTTTCTCTGAAACCTTTTCATGGGATTTATCTTGCGTATTATATCAAATTAGTAGGATTTATATAGCGTATCTTTTCAGTTTCAAAGTTTTCTAAATTTACAGTACGTAAAATATTGACAGGGTTACGATACTAGTATCAATGAATAACTTTGAGTATGAATGTTTATTAACTCTATTCCAGGGTGACGCTGGAGGATCTCTTGCCTGTGAAGTAGGTGGATTCCACGAACTTGTTGGCTTAGTATCCTGGGGACTTGGATGTGGCAGAAACTTCGTACCTAGTATATACGTTAAAGTTCCAGCATTCATGGGATGGATAAATCAAATTATAAGTTCAAGTTCATTTGTACTTCCATAACATTTTCATTTGTAAAAAACTTAGGTTTAATTAAAGTGACAAAGACACTAATTGTTATTCATTTACTGTTCAAATATAAAAAGTATGGGGGTAATGTAAAGCTGCTTTTACAAAGGTTGATATTTTTAAATCACTTATTAATATTTTCAGAGGGCTTCTTTATAGGTTTCAGTTTTCTTCTGTAGATAACGTCTCAATACACCTTATTGGAGGCACAAGTTTAGTGCTTTACCCAGAACACCCTCAAATTTAAAGTTGCTTATTATGCAGTTCCGATTTCTTCAAGTATTGGGGCAACTAAGATTTGTTTTAACAATTTTGCTTTTTTAACAAATTTGCTCTTTATTGAGGTAGTTCTTTAAACATTTGTTTCGCAAACTAAAATTTTGGAAGCTTGTTTATTCTATAACCCATTTATTAAAGTTTGAAATTTAATCTCTAACTTAAGATTAGCTAATTGTGGTTGATCAATTAGTTTAATTTAGTACAAAGTTATTTTAGTAACGGAAAATTTTATAAACTTTAAATACAGTTTGGATTTACCTTTAGGTCCAAATTTTGATTAGGCAGTAATTCGTTGCTCAGTTGAGAATGGTTTTAATCACAGAATTTACACAAAGAATTTTCAACTATTATGTTAATGTTTTCATCAATCTTATTACTGTGATTTAGAATAGTTATAAAATTTTATCTTTGAATACTATTACAGATAAACCAGATTGTACGTCGAGATAGTAAAGGTAGACATAGACATCGGATTTAGTTGATTTAAGTAGTTGCACTGATTTTTAAATTAAGTTCGAAAAGATCAACACTGAATTCATCCAGCTAATCTTTCTGAAAATTTCAAGAAATTTTGATTTTGTTAATAAGCATTATTTGATATTAATTATAGTACATCTAGTAATAAATTGACCACACTGAATATAAAAAGCAACCGAACATAAAAAGATTATTTTATAATGAGTTCTTATAAAATGTTAACTGCTGAAGACAAAGTAAAAAAAAACTCTTTGCTTCCAAGATATTAGGTCTATTAAGTCTGAGTAGTGTATTTAGCAAACTTTTAGAAATCTGAAAAATGCTGTTACTTGCATTTAAACTAAGAATATTTTTTAGTATTAGCTTCCTCTTTAGTTTGCAGACAAATGGCAATAATTGACAGACAAATAATTTATTTAATAAATATTATATTCTAAATTATTTCGGACTAAATTTGGAAATGTTGCACAAATACTTCTAACAATTATTTAAAACTCTTACCGTTGAGAGTATTTTGGTAATTTCTTTAAAATTTATATTTAAATGCGGTTATATCAATCTACGAAATTTTTACTCGGATAATTTATTTCGGTAAATATAGCTGTGAATTGTATAAAACTTGGTTTTTCTCTAAATTTTAAAAATAGCCTTTATAAAAGTTTAAAAATTTATCATTTTTAAAAAGAAAAAGGGAATATTTTTAATGAAATCCTTTGCAAAAATTAGCATTCAATGAAACTCCAATTAAGAATAGGCACTAAAAGTAATCGGGAGTTTTAAAAGAATTGCTAATGCCTTTAACTTAAAGCCTAATAGGAATGTTCTAAAGATGAGCATGAATTTTAATGAAAATTTACTATCTGAAATAGTTCTAATTTTTTAAAACAATGTTTAAATTTTTTTCTCATTATATATAGCAATACAATAACTATTACAGGACTGAATATTTGACAGCAAAAAAAATTTTTTTTTGTTGGAAAAAAAGTTTGGTTTCAAAAACATTTAGCTTTTAAATATATTTAATAAAACACTTTAAAATAAAAAAAAATTCCTTACCTTTCAATTTTCTATTACTGAAGATGTTTATTTTATAGTTCATTTAATATGACTGATCTACAAAATTTACTGAATGAATAAATTCATATTTAATTTTGAAATTAATTTCAAGTTATTAAAGATGGAAAATAGGTTTTTTTCATTTTTAGATAAATTACTTTACATCGCCTTAGAGTAACTTTAACATTAAACTAGCGTTTTAATAATGTAAAACAAAAGCAATAGCGATTGTTGATTTGAATAAAATAGCCTTACTGTAATTATATATTTGCTGCAAGCGACAAATTGTTTTTATAATCAAATTTAACGTTTTCTATTTTTTTCCAATAATTTATTTTAAGTTAGCTTTTTCACATTGATATTAAAAACAATTGTAGACCAAAGGGAGAGAACGGTTTGTCCATTTTTCACAAAAATAACGATTCGTTCGCCATCTATTTCAGGATTACGATGTTTGGACAAAGAAATAACGTAAAAAATCAATTCTCCTCGAGAGTTATTACACAGTGAGGATAAGCCGTACTGAAGATAAATCATTCTTTTCCGTTGGCAAAATAGTTTTCTTTCCTCCGAATCTGCTTCTATGAACATAAACCATTCTTCTCTCGTGGTTTTCAATTGTTACTCTATTCATTACAGTAATATTTTTGTTCATATGCTAATTATAAATATTTGCTTAAATAATTTTCATAAGACCAAAATGCTTATTGCTACACCTAACTTTTAAATAGTCGGAGTAAAGTAAATTTTTCCGACTCCTGCAAAATTTTCTTCGGCTCTGATTCTGCAACTCTGAATATTAATTAGCAAAGGGAAAAAACCAAATAAAAATATGTTATTGAGATTGCTTTTTTACAGATCAAGAGATTAATAATTGAAGACCAAGCATCTATATGAACCTATTACGGGGAATAACACAGTAGAAGCCTACAAAAAAATTATTTTTTTTAAGTAAATTTGCAACGATTGGGATTAACTTAATACATTTTTTCATCTCATTATACGTATTTTAATCTTCATTTTATCACGTTACAAATACAAAAATTTCAAAGATTAGCTCTTGAATAATACAATGTGTATAATTTATTTTTTAAATTATCCATAGCTCGCTATATTTACAAAAAAATTTAATTCCAAATTTAATTTCGTTTTGATTTTCTTAAACTACATGAGAGTAATTTTCGTTGTACGTTGGATTCTTAAAAAAAAAATATTTCTTCACAAAATGGTGTATTTTTTTTTTTTTTNTGTAATTGGTTTGGGTTTTTTTTTTTTTTTTTTTTTTTTTTGGAAAAAAAAAACATAAGTTACATGTTTGTGAATTACTCAAAACCAGTGAAACCAATTAAAGAACTTCCTATGTGCAACCAAAAACTACATTTATTGTGAACATTGTGTCAGGTGAACATTGTGTCAAGTTAATCAGTTGAAAATTGTACTATTTAGAGATACAGTTAGTAAGAGAAAAATATTCGTGTAAATTGAGTTTAAAGTTTAGTGATTAATAATCTATAAAAGTACATAAAATTTTGTAATTAACTGTAATGCATTAAGATCAGGCCCATATGACGTTTCTTCCCTATCATTTTCAGCAGACTTAAGCTCTAGTCTACCCCTTTTTTTGTCGATCTACCCTCATATGTTTGTAGAGTAGCAGCCGAAATTCTGCAATCATCTTTATTTTGAGCATATTATTTGGCTGTCGGGCCTTCATTTATTTCGAATTGTTCCATAACTGCCAATAACCTTTTGCAACCTTTATTAAAAAATATTGCAGTTATATAAGTTGCAATTTCAACTATTTATATTTTATAGTTCCATAAATTCTTTTCTAACATAATTTAGACAAATTATTTCAACAATCGTTATTTTACTAAAATGTTTTGATAGGAGAGAGCAAATCCATTAACCAATTGAGAGCCGTGATGGCTCTGGGGTCAGAGCGTTTGCCTTTCAATGAGGTGAACCGGGTTCGAATCCCAGCGATGGCTGATCGATACGAATTCCGCATCCGGTTTGCACCTACCACAGTGCTGACTTAAAATATCCTCCGTGGTAGACGGATCATGAGTTAGAGCCCCGTAGTCATCAGGCTAACCGTGGGAGGTTTTCGTGGTTTTCCTCTCCATGTAAGGCAAGTGCGGGTTTGTTCCATTAAAAAATCCTCCACAAAGGCAAATTACTCCCGATACTCGATACTGGAGTTCTCTTGTCTTCTGGATTGGGTTTAAAATTACAAGGCAGCGGAGTTGAACTTAAATAATCGTAAACCCAAAAAATTGGGACGGCTGTTCAACAACGATTATAAATTAATCAACTGAGAGTACAAGTTCGTGTGATGCGTGTCGCAACGTGTCCTGCGTCGCTCGCCACTCTCAACATATGCTCTCTGAAACTTATAAATTTTTACGAGAATCAATTCAATATTTTGATACAATAAATTTAAAATAATAAACTATCAAAAAATGCATTTTTGTTTTATTTTTAAAAATTTTTACCCCGTTGTTTCTCCTTTATATAGGAGATTATAAGAAACGAACTGGAGTCGGAACAGAGCAAATTTTTCCAACTTCAACTCCGCAGCCTTGATTGAAAAAACTACAGTGAAAGATTGAATTGCCTTAATAATGACGTAGTTTAATTGATAATTTGCTGGAACATTTTACTCAGTTGAATATTTACGTCATATTTCCTGAATATTTACTACCGACTTCCTGTTCAACAAAGACAAACTTTTCTCTGACATAAATATTCGATTTTTCTTTCGATACACTTATTTAGATAAAACAATCAGGATTGGATCTCTAGCTTCAAATGTTATATTTTCATCGGAAATGCCCTTAGATGGTTTCGGATAATTAATATTGCTTTTAATTTTTGTTTCGTTAAGATTACAATTTGATCTGCCAAACTTCCTGTAACGTTTCATAAAGATAAGACGAGAAAATTCAGTTTGGGAAATATCTGTCTATCTTTTCTCTAAATAAAATTGATAGACAAAAGTAAATAGAATTTACCAGGCTCTTATCTTTTCGTATATACTCCTTTTATTCTTATTGCTTTGTTTCCAACTTTAATTACCTATTTTCAATAGCAGTAATTTATTCATTTTTTAATTTTTTTAGTCTTAATAATTTTTAATTGTTAAGTTTTTAATGCATATTTTATTGACATGAAATATTCTGTATGCCGTTTACAACAATTTTTTTAATGAACAACAGAATAACAATAGC